AAAGATGAAGTTTCACCATCCTGGCCTCCAAGGAGCACTTTAGCGCACTTCTTCCAGCACAGATCTGTTTGTTCTTTTGGCAGCTCACGGTACTTTCAGTATTCTCCTCCAACACCGTAACTCAAATGCATCAATTATTCTACTGTTTTCTTTATTCACTGTCCAGCTTCTGCATGCATATGAAGTTATTGAAAATACCATGGCTAAGGTTAGGCACACCTTAGTTCTCAAGCTGACATCTTTGCTCTTCAACACTTTAAAAAGGTCTTGTGTAGCAGATTTGCCTAATGCAATACATCATTTGATTTCTTGACTGCTGCTTCCATGAGTGTTGATAGAAGAAAGAAGTCCTTGACAACTTTAATCTTTTCTCAGTTGATAAAAATGTTATATATTGATCCAGTGGTGAGGATTTTTGTTTTCTTTACATTGAGATGCAATCCGTACCGAAGGCTGTGGTCTTTGATCTTCATCAGTAAATGTTTCAAGTCCCCTTCACTTTCAGCAAGCAAGGTTGTATCATCTGCATATCGCAGGTTGTTAATGAGTCTTCCTCCAATCTTATTGCCACATTTTTCTTAATATAACCCAGCTTCTTGGATTATTTGCTCAGCATACAGGTCAAATAAGTCTGGTGAAAGAATACAACCCTGTCGCACACCTTTCTTAATTTTAAACCATTCATTGTTGCCATGTTCTGTTTGAACAGCTGCCTCTTGGTGCCGGTACAGATTCCTTATGAGCACAATTAAATGTTCCATAATACTCATACTTCTCAATGTTGTCCATAGCTTGTCATGATCCACACAATCGAAAGCCTTTGCGTAGTCAGTAAGCCAATGGTAAACATTTTTTCTGGTATTCTCTACTTTCATCCAAGATCCATGGGATGTCAACAATGATATCCCTTGTTCCACGTCCTCTTCTGAATCCAGCTTGAACCTCTGGAAGTCCTCTGTCAATGTATGATTGTAGACATTTCAGTATTACCTTTAGTAAAATTTTACAGACATGGGATATCAAAGATATTGTCCAATTATTTCCGCATTCCCTTGGATCACCTCTCTTTGGAATGGGTACAAATATGGATCTCTTCCAGTCAGTCAGCCGGATAGTTATCTTCCAAATTTCTTGGCAGAGATGAGTGAGTGCCTCTAGTGCCACATCACTTTCTTGAAAGATTTCCATTTTTATTCCATCAATTCCTGGTGTCTTGTTCTTTGCCAATTCCTTCAATGCACCTTGGACTTCCTCCTTCGGTATCATCAGCTCTTGATCATATGATACCTCTTGAAACGGTTGAACATCAACCATTTGCTTTTGGTACAGTGACTCTGTGTATTCTTTCCATCTTCTTTTGATGCTTTCTGCATCACTCAATAATTTGCCCAGAGAATCCTTCAATAATGAAAGTCGAGTCTTGCATTTTTTCTTCAGTTCCCCCAGCTTGAGAAATGCTGAGTGTGTTTTCCCTTTTGGTTTTCTGATTCCAGATCTTTGCACATTTTGTTGTAATATTTGACTTTGTCTTCTTGAGCTGACCTTTGAAATTTTCTATTCAGCTCTTGGACCTCCTCATTTCTTCCATTTGCTTTAGCATTTCTATGTTGGAAAGCAAGTTTCAGAGTCTCTTCCAACATCCATTTTGATCGTTTCCTTCTTTCTTATCTTCTTAATGACTCTTTGCTTTCTACCTGTATGATGTTCTTGATGTCATCCCACAACTCTTCTGGTCTTTGTTCTTTAGTGTTTAATGTATCAAATCTCTTCTCCAGATGATCTCTAAATTCAGGTGGGATATATTCCAGGTCGTATTTTGGCTCTCGTGGACTTGTTTTCATTTTCTTCAGCTTCAGTCTGAATTTGCATATGAGTAATTGATAATCTGTTCCACTGTCTGCCCCTGGCCTTGTTTTCACTGATGATATGGAGCTTTTCCATTGTCCCTTTCCACAGATGTAGTCAATTTGATTTCTGTGTATTCCATCTGGTGAGGTCCATGTATATAGTCAGCTCTTATGCTATCCAAAGAAGGTATTTGAAATGAACAAATCACTGATTTTGCAAAATTCTATCATGGGTTCTTCAGCATCATTTCTATCACCAAGGCCATATTTTCCAACTACTGATCTTCCTCTTTGCTCCTAACCTTTGCATTCCAATCACCAGTAATGATCAATACATTTTGATTGCGTGTTTGATCAATTTCAGATTGAAGAAATTAATAAAATTCTTCTATTTCATCCTCACTGGCTTTAGTGGTTGGTGCGTAAATTTGATTAATAGTGGAATTAACTGGTTTTCCCTGTTGTTGTTGTTAAGTGCCATCCAGTAGATTGCGACCCATAACAACCTTGTATAGGGTTTCCAGTGAGCAGGTGGTAAGCTTGAACCACCGACCTTGTAGTTCAAACCACTTTACAATGTGACGCATTAGCCCACAATGCCATACCAGGACTCCAGTCTTCCCTGTAAGCGCACAGATATGATCCTATCACAGACAGCATTGAACCTCATGACTGATCTGGATATGTTCTTTTTGACAATGAATGCAACACCATTCCTCTTCAGTTTGTCATTCCAAACATAGTAAACCATGTGGTCATCAGATTCAAAATGGCCAATACCAGGCCATTTCAGCTCTCTAATGACTAAGATATCGATGTTTATGCATTCCATTTCATTTTTGACAATTTTCCTAGTTTCATACTTAGTACATTCCATGTTCAGATTATTAATGGATTTTTACAGCTGTTTCTCTTCATTTTGAGTTGTGCCCCATCAGCAAATGAAGGTCCCTCAGGCTTTACTCCCACAGGCTTTACTCCATTCGCGTTATCACGGTCAACTCTACTTTGAGGAGGCAGCTCTTCCCCAGTCTCATTTTGAGTGCCTGCCAACCTGAGGGGCTCATTTTCTGGCACTATATCTGACAGTGTTTCTCTGCTATTTATAAGGTTTTCAGTGACTAAATATTCAGAAGTAGTTCGTCACTCCTTCCTAGTCTATCTTCATCTGGAAGCTCATCTGAAACCTGTCCACCACGGGTGAACCTGCTGGTAATTAAAATACCCGTGGCATAGCTTCCAGAATCAAAGCAACTCATAGCCCACCACAATACGACAAACTGACAAATGAGTGGTGGAGTGACCCTCCTTACCAAAGAGCGCCTTCTTTCCAAGCAAGATTGCATCCATCTGTATAGGCTTTAAGATTCCATAGCAAGGTTGGCTCTAAGTATGGCACTGTTCACAGAATGAAGAGATGAGCAGATGGATGGATGAACACATAGATATGCAAATGACAGGAAACTGCACCAGGTATTGAATGGAGGCAGTCTGTTGCTTGGTCTTTAGGTTGGTAATAGACACCTACCTATTCCTGTTGATTACATGTTTGTTGTTGTTGCAAGTGCCGTTGAGTGGGTTTCGACTCATGACTCATAGGGACCCTGTATAGGGTTTCTGAGGAGTAGCTGATTGGCTTGCAGTCCAGTGCTTACCCTACAGCACCACACCAAGACCCTTGATACATCCATGAATAGGAGGAGCAAAATGTTTTGAATTGAACCGTACTTGACACATAACTGTACTGGGCCTGAAGTGTTTGGTCAATAGAAAACTTAGAGGCTTATTTTGAGATTGTAAGAACACAGGTGTGTTATTATCTTAGTATTCTTTTCAACTCTCAAGGAAATTCCAATGTTTCTACCACCTGCCTCTGTAATTCAGTTCAGTACATTAGATTGTCTCCTTGGAACTGCAGATGTGGTCCAGCCATTGGGCTCTGTTGACTTTCACCTCCTCCTCTTCTTCAAATCAGTTTCCACCAACTGGAAAATAACCCAGAAGTCCAGAATAACAGAGTTTAAAAATGTCCCTGACCTTTTTCAGGAACCAAGATGGAAGGTTTGCTTTCCCTATACTTGCATTTCACCTGGAACTTCAAAATGCCTTCCACTCTAAAAGGAGAGTGAGGCAAAACCGGAAACACACCCAGACCCCCTTGTGATGGGTTTTTTCTGAAGTGTTACTTTCCACTGAGAATACCCGGCACTGTTTTTAGTGTGCAGCAACATGCTAATATTGTAATTATACACTTAAAATTCGGTTGGTGTGAGAACTTCTTTGCTGAGTTTTATAACAGGAGACGTTTCAGTGACAGTGATTTACGAGATGTTACTTTGTAAATCCAACTGAAGGAAATAGGGAAAGTTTGCAAAACACAGGCGAGTTCGATGTCAACCTATATTTTTATATACTCTCTAAATTTAAACAGCGCCTTTGACTTTCTGTTTTCCATATGGTTTTCAAAATCATGTCCATGTTTTAGTGCATAATGAGAGAGGATAGTAATTAACCCTTTTACATGTGAAATCGAATTAATTTTATTTGGTGTTTAGCTCCCAATACCCGGGCTCTGTGGCCTTGATAATGCTTTTGACTTTAGGACTCTCCAAAGGCATCACAAGAGGTATTTGGTAGAATGGCATTGTCCTTGGTAAAGTAGTAGGTGTTGTGTTTAAGTGCCGTTGAGTCTGTTCCGACCCATAGTGACCCTCCCTGGATAGGGCTGTTAAAGAGCTGCTGGTGAGCTTGAACACTGACCTTGCGGTTCCAACCAACCTTGAAGTCCAGCGTATTAACCCACAGCACCACACCAAGACTGGTAAGGTAGAGGATCAGTGAAAGAGGGAAACTCTCAATGAGATGAATTGGCACACTAGTAACCACAGTGGGTGCAAACAATTTGTGACTCCAAGGTTGGTACCAGACCAGTGTTTCATTTTGCTGTCCAGGAGTGTAACATTTTGCATTCAAGAGTATATATTTCATTTTGTTCTTCATTTCCTTACCACACGTCAGATCCAAGTCAGTGACACCTAACAAAAACAACTGATGTGAGACCGACTAATAGCAGTTATAGAAATATTATTATTGGGACTTGGTTTCCTGCTTGGCTTATATGAGCTTTTGTTTTCTCTTTTGTTTCCCTTCTAGTGCGGGAGTTGGCCGGACCGGTTGTTTCATCGTAATAGATGCCATGCTAGAAAGAATAAAGCATGAAAAAACTGTAGATATTTATGGCCATGTAACTTTAATGAGAGCCCAGAGGAATTACATGGTTCAAACAGAAGACCAATACATCTTTATCCACGATGCACTGTTGGAAGCAGTGACTTGTGGTAATACCGAAGTGCCAGCAAGAAACTTGTATGCCTACATTCAGAAGCTGACACAAATAGAGACCGGAGAGAATGTCACTGGGATGGAGCTTGAATTTAAGGTACAGAGTTGGATGTGATGCATCCATTGAAAAGCAAGTCATTCTGGGATTGCCTTTACTTTCTTAACCTTTGGCCTTCATGAAAGGAAGGACAAGATTCACTTGACCCTCTCCTCAGGTGTCTGAATATAACTGCCTTCTTCCTCTTTCCCTTCTTCTCTTCTTCACTTCCTAATAATTCCTTGAGCTCTTTGGTATCTGACTGTAAATTGAGAGATCACACTCTCGGGACATAATATTCAAGCATTCAATAGGCTGTATGGACTCATTAGAAAAGAGCGAAAAGTAAGGCAGTTTGAATAGCCATTTGCTCCAAAGTAAACAAAAGATCTATGTCTAAAAGGAAATCTTGGGTGCCTAGCATTCAAAACAGAGGCTAAAATGATCTTGTTTTTTTTGTTTTTTGTTTTTTCCCCTTTTCTTTCATTCAACAGCGTTTAGCCGGCTCTAAAGCTCACACCTCAAGATTCATCAGTGCCAACCTTCCATGTAATAAATTCAAAAATCGCCTTGTTAATATTATGCCATATGAATCCACAAGGGTTTGCCTGCAACCTATCCGAGGAGTCGAAGGATCCGATTACATCAATGCCAGCTTTATTGATGGGTACAGGTAGGTGCTGCCATTCCCACAAAGACCCAGAGCTTTGATATTTACATGTGCCTTAGTTTCATAACCAGGATGTTTCAGCCCAATTCACAGCCAGTTTGTTTCCGTGTGGGTCAGCTCTCAGCCTTGGTATTTGTGTTTTATTACTTTGGATAGAAGTAGAAAACAGCACTCCTGGGGATTTTTGATCTGGCCTTATGCTCTTCCTTCAGAAGCTGGATGTGGAGAGAGTTAGAGAAACTGTTTGGAAGCATATTTCATAACTGGAGTAGACTGTGAGAGAGTCATTTCAAGAAAAGGAAGCACAACTGAGTGTTTCTTAAGTGATTTGGTTGACACATGAAATTGAGCTATTAGCATTGGCATGAAAATTTAAATAGTAATGATAAGGACATACATCATAATATTAACAAAGCAATCTCTTTTGCAAAGTCCCAGAATGTTTTCAGTGCTGTGGCTTGATGAGCAATCTTAAGGGGAATTGACTTGCAATTACATAAAGAGTAGATTTTAATTTTTTTTATTCATGGGTGGATGTTTTCATCCCCACCATGAGCCTTTGTATGGTCCCTGAGTGCTTTCACACCCTGCCTTTTCCTTCTCTGAAATGCAGACAACAGAAAGCTTACATCGCTACCCAGGGACCCCTGGCAGAGACTACAGAGGACTTCTGGAGGATGCTCTGGGAACACAACTCCACCATTGTTGTGATGCTTACCAAGCTGCGAGAAATGGGCCGAGTAAGTGAGCGTGTACTCCTAAGACACTGTCCTGTGGAGGGAGGGGGACTGCACTCTAAGAACCCAACTGACAGTGTCTTTTCTTTAAAGTGCAGAGTGTTCTGGGCACAATCTAAGTCACGATTCTTCACTGGTTTCTGATTTTCAAGTTCACATCAGTTTTCTATTTTCAATAATCTATTTTATTCTTTTGGTTTTTGTGGCTAAACAATGTTGGCAGAACACACACCAATTGGGCAGTTTCTACATGATCATTTCAGTGACGTTGGTGACTTTCTTCAAGTTGTACTCGCCTTCTTACCTGCATTTTCCAAATGATTCTTCCTCCATTAACATGAACGCATTGTTCCTAAGCTTTCTATCTAATCTTTCAACTTACTGTTGTCTGTTTTTGATTTTCTATATATTTATCATTCTATAAAAGAGCACAATGCTCGGGGCAGACACTCTTCACAAACTAAATTATTAAGGAGTCCTGGTGTGGCACCGTTCGTAGGATAAGCACTCAACTGCAATGTTGCAAGGCCAGTGGTCCAAATCTGCCAGTCACTGTTCGGAAACCCTCTACAGGGTTGCTATGAGTTGGAACCAACTCGATGGCACTTAACAACAGCCCATTCTTTGGTTTAAGGACTTCAGGAGATACTTTCTGGTTTAAGATTATCTCAGGGATTTGCTTCTGAGGGTTCCTCAAACCTCAGTGGCTCCAGATAGTCTGGATTCTGTAAGAATCTGAAATTCTGCTCTACACATCTGATCAGGAATACAATGTTTGATCAAAAGATGATATAGGATCTTTGTTGAAAACTTTCGATAGTAGTGTATAGGTATCATCCTGCACTGGTCTCATGGCCAAGGAGACGGCTGTTCATGGAGGCAATTGTCCACCCTGTCTATTTCCTTTTAAATTTGTGTCTGTGGCTAAAAAAGACCTAGGGTTTTGTTTCCAGTGAAACACCCTCAGAGACAAATAGGCAAGTGCCCCGAGTGAGTCATGCCACAACCCTCAGTGTATTCTCATTTCCTGTCACACTGGAGTCAGGAGATGGATGAGCCAGTCTAGGTGTAATGGCAAATTCTCTTATCCCATGGCAGATTCTGACTTGCCCACCTTTCTTGAAGCATTTGAAAGCTGCACAGTGTTTCTAAGGATATAATCTGATAACTCCAGTCACTTTAAAAAAATAATTATGCTGAAATAGAGAGTATCGTGGAGGCGCTAAAGGACCTACTCCTTAGATTAAATGGATGGTTGTTGATGATGTTGTGTTTAAGTGCCATCAAGTTGGTTCTGACTCCTAGCAACACTCTATAAAGTTTCCAAAGAGCGGATGGTGGGTTTGAACCAGCGACCTTGTCGTTAGCAGTCCAGTGGTTATCCTGCAGCACCACACCAAAATGGATGGTAGCGTTTTGCCATCTTTCCTTTCTCTCTCTGCTCTTTACATAAATGAAATGTTAGAAATGCAGTCAAAACCCAACTTTTAGAACCCACAGAGAGAAAAAGATTTCCAGATTAGGGAAGTCGTCTGATCCAGCTGTTTGTTGGCTTGGCTTCAGATGAAGGCAAGTAAGGCATTGAACCTGCCTGGCTCTGGTGTCCTCAGCCTCTGACTGAGGCTGGAACTGATCAACGCACAAGTTTCTATGTGCGTTCACACAAGAGCGTGCTCTTCGTCTCAGACCACATCATGATGGCTTGTGTTTCCCGGGGCAGTCGGTGCCTGACCATTAGTGTGTACAAAGATTGATGCAATTGTTTGGATCACTCATAGGTATAAAGGCACTTACCCTAGATAATGTGGGAGACAAATGAGGCTTTTTGCTCTTGCAGAGATTATAGCCTTGGAAACCCTATACAGGGTCGCTATGATGTCACTGAACAACACACCCTATAAAAGCATTCGGTTGAACTGATGAGCGTTAAGCAGCTGCTGTGTGGTAGGTGGAGTTCATGAGTAGTGCAGATAGGAAACCACTGGGCTGCTAACCAAAAGGTTGATGGTTCAAGTCTGCCCAGAGGCACCTTTGAAGAAAGGACTGGCAATCAAAGACTCCCCCCAAAACCAACCATTGTAAACCCTAAGAAACACAATTCTAGTCTGACACACCCGGAGCCATCAGAAATCAGAGTCTACTCAATGGCAGCAAGAGGATCATGTGCTGGCCCTGCACTGGGTACTGTGGGCAAATGTAGAGCCCCAAAGTTTTCCCTGTTCTTAGGAACCTGCAGTCTCAAGAGAGAAATGAGTCACATGTAATACAAATTACCTTGAATTTTGTCAATGAGGAACATAGACAGACAGGTAGTAATTGTTAAGTGCTGTTGAGTCTGCTCTGACTCATAACAACCCTATATAAAGAATTTCCCAGGAGTGCCTTGTGGGTTTGAACTGCCAACCTTTGTAATTCACAGTCCAGTTCTGATCCTACAGCATCACGTTAGAAGTCAATACATGGATGGATAGATGATAGATATATGTTATTGTTGTTAAGTGACATTGAGTTGGTTCCAATTCATAGCAAACCTGTATAGGACTTTCAAGGAGCGGCTGGTGTGTTTGAACCACCAAGCTTGCAGGTATCAGTCCTAAAGCACCGCACCTGGACTCCAGTTGATAGACAGGTGATTGATAAAATTTTGTTGACATTTTGTAGAGTTTAAAGTTCATTTTCTCTCCTTTTAGGAAAAATGTCACCAGTACTGGCCTGCAGAACGATCCGCAAGGTACCAGTACTTCGTTGTAGATCCCATGGCTGAATATAACATGCCCCAGTATATCCTGAGAGAATTCAAGGTGACAGATGCCAGGGTAAGTTGGTGCTGTCTCATATTCTTACCTATTAGCTGAAAAAGTCATCTAAACTGTACTCCTGGGAGAAGCATTTGTTAAGTGTCCATGCACCCAAAGAGAAAAGAAACCAGCTATTCTGGAGGGTGATACTAGTTTTAAGTAGAAAAGTATCTTTCCTTTGTCTGGCAAGCGTCCATACAAACTCAGGGTTGGCTTTCGTTCAAGCTTAACATCTGGCAGCCCAACTTCCGGGGATGCACTCGGTGAGTGTTTGTGCTGAGAAGCATGACCTGATTGGTTGGTAGTGTCTGCAGTTCACCTTCTCAGCCCATTCTCCTCGGAGTTTTTTTGACTTCTTCATTACTCCGGGCTGTAAATATGTTGTTGTTTTGCAAGGCCTTTCAGGGCATGTGGGCTCGAAGGTTAATTCAGTATGATTTTAAAACTGTCGAGCAAATGGCATTCTTTAGAAGAATCTGACAAGCTTTGCACATTCTAATTTGATTCCTGGCATGCTTTGCTCCTCAGTGTGGTAATGTGGATGTCTAGAAGAGCTGTGCACCCTTGACCCTTGTTGGCTAATTTTCATTCTGCATCTCTTATCTAGATTGCTGAGTCCAAGGTTCAGCCTTGATGTAAGATGTTCTGTACATAAACTTTAATATCCTTGCCTTTGGCCATTTCCAAACCGTGATTATAGACTCAGCTTAGGGGAGAAGGAGGGTCAGTCCAAAGCCTGCTTGGTTTTTGTCACTGTCTCAGTGGGTGGGTTGAATTAAACTCTAGGGGAGAGCTCCTTACTGGGTCCAGCGATGCTTTTCTTTTCTGGAAAGCAGGCTTTCTCAACCATGACTCGTATTGCAGATTGTCTTCTAATCTCCAAAGTCTGTCTCAAGCTCTTGACCCAAAGTGAATGAGAAATTGGTTAGCAGGCCGGCTAGTCCAAGTGACAGACCCATAATCTCAGCCTGAAGTCTTAACTACTCTGAAGGTGACTGTCCTTACGTAGCAGTTCAGTCACTAGGTCTCGTCTCTGAGTTGCCAAAGCAACCATACTTTGGTGACTCACCACATTCACTGGTAAACCAATTCAAGAAACCATGCTTTTTCAGAATTGGAATTCAGGTATGTGAGTGAAAATCCTTTAGGCATTTAACCCAAACTTACCAACCATTTCTGATGATAAAGTCTGGTTCCTCAGATGCTAGAGACACCTTCTTTACTAACCCTCACATCACTGTAGGATCAGCACTGGACAGCGAACCAGAAAGTTGGCAGTTCAAACCCACCACCGGTTCCTCAGAAACTCATACTGGGTAGCTGTGAGTCGGAACCAAGTCAACGGCAGTGAACAGTAACACATACCCAAAGTAGAGTCCCTGCATGGGACAGTTAAGTATTCATCTGCTTAGCTGAAAGTTCCCAGCTGTGAAAACCCTACAGAGCAGCTCCACTCCACACCCACAGAATCTCCATGACTCAGAATCAACTCAACAACAACTAACCACTACACACCCGAGTAAAATTAGATCACAATAAGACAAGGAAGGAGCGAAATGGGAAGTTGATCGTGTGTTTTTAGAAGTGCAGAATGTTCTTAGTTACCAGGGTACTTACTGCTTGGTCTCCTGGTATATTTCTAGTCTCAAGGTCCCAGCTTAGAAAGCAGGCTGCTGCTCAGAAATACCATCTTGCTAAACAGCTAACCTTTACAGGGAGTCCGGTGGCCTCTCCTCCAGATTGTAAGGGTATGTGTGCATGGATCCTTCTTGTAGTTAGAAGAACCGTGATCAGAAACAAAATCTCAGGACCTTCAGAAGAAAACGAATATGTTGTGGTCCAAAGCCTCCTTTCCTGTTCTTTCCAGCCCTTTACCAGAAACAGAGGGAAGTAAACCATGTTGTCATGGAAACCAGCCATACGTTAGTTATGGGACCAAGTTGTTATTTCTATACTCGTCCATGTTCTTACTGGGGCGGACTGACAACCCACTATGTGACGTTTACCTGCAAAAAAAAGTCCTTCCAGAGCCTCAGTGCTCCCTGTTACTGATGGGGGGGGGGGGGTGTCACCACGTCTCAGCTTCATCCTGGTGGCAATGTGTTGTTTTGTTTCTGATGTGTTGAGAGAAGGTTGATGGGTACAATCATTTTTCCTGCATCTAAACAGAGAGTCCCTTCTGCTTTTGTTTTCCTTCCAGAAACACTGTACATTCTAAGGGGATCAGAAACAGCCTTACTGACTTCTTTTAGTAAGTCTTGAGTCAGAGCAGTTTTGCCAAATCGTTTTAAGAGAGGAAATCTCCTGTGGCATCTAGCTTGCTTTCTTCCTGCCCTTTGGATTCTCTGCATTGACAGCCCCTAAGTCAGGAAGGGTCCTCTTTCTGAGCAGGGCACTCCTCCCTTGAGGGATGCTCCTTTCCTGCTTTGCAGCATAGTCACATGGTCTGTGCCTTTGAGACACGCAGGGCATCCAGGTAACAGCAAATGCCTGATGTGGATCAGATCCTGTAAATGCCGTTTTTCACTTGACAATACTGGAAACCAGCAAGTACAGCAGATGTGAAGTTACGCTGACAACAGCAAATTCCCCAGTTCACGTGACATGCCTGGGTATCCCTTTCCATAGTAAGAAGTCATTCAATCCTGAAATGTTTGAAACACATGCCCTACTTTGGAGAGGATGTGAGCGTGGTCAGTGATTTTAAACCCAAACTTTAAGTCACAGGAGTGTTTGTCACGTGACAACTCAATGACTCTAAAAGACATGGAAGCCCAGATTTTGAACTGGTCACTCTGAGAAGAAGTGAATTGGCAACTTGAATATATGTTCTGGTTGCCTGAACGTGTATCGTTCAGTTGCCTTCCAGGTACTTTGGACCTCATGGAGACCTCTAATGTGTCAGAAGAAGCTGCAGACCATCGGGTTTTCAGGGGCAGATTTTTCAGAAGTAGATCAGCAGACCTTTCGTGTGAAGCACCTCTGGGTGCTGGTACAAATCACCAGCCTTACGGTTAACAGTGAGCATGAATTCCAAACGCGGGGAATTCATAGGAGAATGTTAATAGCAGATAAGACTGAAATCTAACCCTAAAGGCAAACCCGTTACCCGTTACCACGGAAGTGGTGCTGACTCCTAACCCTAACAATGTAGTGTTGATAAGAAGTTTCCCAGTAAACATGTCTCTAACTTTTGATGGCTTTCTGTGTGTGTATGTGTTCTCTCTACTGGCTGACCCCTCCTGATGGACATGTGGCCTTCCCCTTAAAGGATGGTCAGTCCCGAACAGTAAGGCAGTTCCAGTTCACTGACTGGCCAGAGCAAGGAGTACCAAAGTCTGGAGAAGGGTTCATTGACTTCATCGGCCAAGTCCATAAAACAAAGGAGCAGTTTGGCCAAGATGGTCCCATTTCAGTCCATTGCAGGTGAGTGAAGAATCAAGAATGGGGGAGAGTTACCATGTGATAACGTTGAGGAATAGCCTTGTGGATTCATCAATACAATCACAACAATCTTGGTTTGTTGTAGTGAACATGAAATGTGCTGTAAGCCCTTAAGCAAGAACTCATTTCTCTTCCTTTTCATAAAATGAAAATAACAAGAGGAAGACTTTTTTCTCTAAATTGGACTTTTTTGTAAAGTCGGTTTTCCATGCCAGTTGAATCTTAACTGGAGTTGCCGGTGGTCGTCTGCTTCTGTTGATTATGTCTCACTTTGCTTTGCTTTCATGGCATTGCCCTGAAAACGGCCGTTCTATGTCTTTCTCCTGCATTTTCCTTCCTGGAAAAACCATAAATAGCCATCAAGCCTTAATAGCAGTACTAATTCTTGCCAGTCAATAAGGGATTGCAGTGATACCTCAGTTAAAACTGCAATTTGCTTGAAAATTGTTGCTACATCACAAAATGAAGCACCTTCAAGTTAATTATTTTCAATAGTTTCCAAAGCATTTTTATAATTCAAGTCATTGAAGTTAATAGAAATAGCAAGTAAATGGTTCAAAAAGGACATTCACCATAAATTTAGTGCTTTTGGAAATTGTTATGCAAAAACCTTCCAGCAAAAAGAATTCACTCAACTTTACTTGAACTGATAGATTTTAGAAGTCTAGCAATTAGAAGTCTCTGTTTCCAATCTTGTTATGATCCAGAATCCTGAGAGATTTTATTCAAAACTTTATTTTCCTTCAAATAAAATAAAATCCCAAACAACAAACTAGAGTACTTACTAACATAGGAAGCAGTGTCTCAAAACAGGAAATAAATTTGCTTTGGACTTTAAAGATATCCAAGGTCACATGTGGGCTCCTGCACTGCAGGATTAGCACTGGACTGCCAACCAAAAAATCTAAAGTTCAAACCAACCAGACACTTCTCAGAAACCCAATACAGGGTCCCTATGAGTTGGAACCAACTCGATGGCCCTTAACAACAGCTGACCCACATTTACCCCATTATGGAGCTATGGGAAATAGAGAAATCATGGACCTCAATCATTTTCGAAAGATCTTTAAGATGCTTTCTCGTTGCCTCTATTTCCCAGGCATAATATGTCATGGGAGACAGCCCTTACTTTGAAATTTATTAGCTTTGTTGAGTTGTCCAAAATCCTTAACAATGTAAGACCAAAGAGCAGATGGGAACTGGCCTATGGACTCAAATGTTTAGACTAAGTGGATGGTACATACAGGCCTTGGATTATCTGGCTGTTCCCCGTATTTTCCACATAACTTGATCAAATGCTAATCCCAATGTTAATGCTTGCTATAAGGAAAAAAATATTTTTTCTAATTGAACACATGTTCTTAACTGTAGACATTTCCATCATATTTATAAATTTATATGTGTGTGTGTATTCTCATTGTCTTTGCCATCACACAATAATTTAAATACTCTTTAAGGAACCCTGGTGGTACCAAGGATTAACTGTAGGCCTGCTAACCACAAGGTTAGCAGTTCAAACCCACCAGCCTCTCTTCAGGAGAAAGGTGAGGCTGTCTACTCTTGTAAAGATTTGCAACCTCAGAAACCCTAAGGAGTCTACTCAATCCTATAGGGTCACTGATTCACAACTGACTCAGTGGCAATGGGTCTGAATAGCAAAAGTAGTATGAAATCTTGCCCATATGCTTAATACGTAAAAGATGTCAAGATATGTGCTTCTATTTGAGAATAGTATGAATATACCATCTTTTAATTGTATACCTTAATTATACTAGTAAGATAAGTCAATACATTTAGACGTTTTGCAAGGCAAGTGTCTTTTCTTTTCCTGAGAGTACTTAGTAGGAAACCAGAAAGTGCTGTGATTTTTTATAACATGTGAGCACTGAAATCCAAGTGAGAGAGATTCCAGAGTCTCTGGACCTCCAATAGGAAGATGGTTAACCACAATCCCTCAGGACTAAGAGAGGTAGAAAAGGACCCTTCAGGGTCATTGACGCCAGCGTCACAGGAATAGCATCTGATTCTGGACCCCCTCAACCACTCTTTAAAGAGGGCCAGTGCAGTTAAAAGCTTCATTTACCATTTCTGTTTCACTGTGCAGACATCACAGTTTACAGCAGGATGCCACAACTATTTCTATATGCCTGTCAGCTGCATCCCCAAGTAAATGGATCCATCCATTTTCTACAGCCTGTGCTCAAGCGTTAAACATGCCATTTAGTTAGGATTCCAAAGAGCAGGGATTTTTCAGATTATCCACTCTTTTCCTCATTACCTAAACCTCCAGATGCTTTCCTGCTTCTGAAGAGCACAAGAGCTATGAATTCGTTTCCCTCTCTCACTGTTGTAAAGATTCTAGAATTATTTTAAGACAGTTTAACAAAAAAGATAAAGAGAGAAAAACTCTTGCTAATGTGGTGGACAGAATCCTGATGCATCTAAAAATAGTAGAAAAGCTCAGTAACTCTTAAACTCTTAATCATCTTTTGCTTTTTCTTCTTTTCAAAAGAGATCCCTTTGAGAATCTGTTGTAAGTTCCCTTTTCTAGGGAAAAAATATATTTATAAAAATCCAGATATATACTTACATTTTATTTATAGACTTCTGCCAAAGGCTGGGTATAAACCCCATAGTAAAACAACCTGTAACAGAATCTAGTCTCATATCAAAACCAAGGTCTAAATTTTAGTGTTCTACCTGCCTGGATGTTTAGTTCTATGTCTGGTGTTGGGACATCCTGTCCAAATTTTTAGGGGGGTCACAAGAAGTGGATAATGTACAGGAAAAGGTGCCTAATTTAGTTTGCCTTATTCTGAATTATGTCACATTATAAGCATACTGAATAGACAAATTTCAAAATCTGCATGAATAGTATAAATCTTTATTGTATGTTTCCATACTTTCTTTTTAAATGTGTCCAGAATGTCTTATAACCTCAAGTTTTAAATCATCATATTTTATAAGACTTAATCCTACTGTGTTTTAAGGCACATAATGCCTGCCTTATACAGTTTTCATAAACTCTGCCAATCGCTCCCCCCCTCCCCTTGCATATTATGAAGACTATGTATACTGTAAGTGAAAATTCCATATATGTCATCCGAAGAGTGACCATTTCATGAAATTGATGCCACAGTCTCCTGAAAGTATCCACAGAAAAAGATAATGTGGAAACTGGTGAATTTGGGCTACCTCCTTGCACATGTAGGCAACCCTGTGAACATCTCATGTAATCACGTTGTCTTTGATATCATGGCAGTGCGGGCGTTGGGAGAACTGGAGTCTTCATAACACTAAGCATTGTTTTGGAAAGAATGAGATATGAAGGCGTCGTAGATATCTTCCAGACCGTCAAAATGTTAAGGACTCAACGACCAGCCATGGTACAAACCGAGGTAAGAAAAAGTCCCATGATTCTCTCTGTCACATTGCAAGAGACAAATCATAGATTTCACTGGACAAGAGATGCTAGAATCTTGGGATTCTCAACACCAGAGGCAAAATGCTATAGTGAAAACATCAAATTATTTAATACTTTTGAACCTTGTTTTCCATCTCTTTAAATAAGTTGGCAATATCAACATCTTAGGTTAATTGTGGACATTACATGATAGCTAGTTCACTGAGTTGCTGTAGGGATTAAATGAGACAATGCATAAGGAAAGCCAAAACCAAAGCCAACCTGTTGCCACTGACCTTCTAGGACAAAGTAGAACTGTCACATAGGATTTCCAAGGTGGTAGCCTTTAAGGAGCTCTGGTAGCATAGTGGTTATGAATCGTGCTTCGAACCACAAGGTCAGCAGTACGAAACTACCAGCTGTTCCGCGGGAGAAAGATGAGGCTTTCTGCTCCCGTCAAGATTTACAGCCTCGGAAACCTCGGGTGGCTATGGGTCGGAACTGACTCAATGGCACTTAACCACAATAACAAGCCTTTATAGGGAGTCCCGGTGTAGCGCTGTGGGCTAATGTGTTGTACTGCATGGTTGGTTTGAACCACAGGGTTGGCGGTTCAAACTCACCTGCCCCTCTTTGGAAACCCTATGCAGGGGTGCTATGACTTGACAGCACTTAACAACAGCAACGTATCTGGTAAGGGAATTGTGGTGTGTTGCTCTAGGATAAGCATTGGACTGTTAACAGAAAAGGTTGGTGGTTCAGGCTCACCAGCCGCTCCTTGGAAACCCTATACAGGGTCACTATGAGTCAGAATGGTCTCGATGGCACCTAACAACAACAATGCATATTTTAAGATTGCCTGCCCTCATTGCCACTCTGTCACAGTTTTCATGATTGACCATTTTGACCCATAGAAGTGACCATTTCATATAGTTCAATGCCTAACATGTACTAGAACATTGCCATTCTCCATTCCTTCGACGCCTGGGTACTAGATTTCAACTGCCCTGTGTTTTAGTCCTGGAATCAGGCATTCTAAACACTTGGATTCTGGATCAGTGAAATTAGCACTCGGTTTTCTACTGTAGTCATTGATGCAAAATTCTGATGTTTCTTAAAATAGAATGAGGTCATGATTTAGCCAGTCTGACCTGTTGGCCATTCGTTTCGAAGGCTAGCACGAGTAATCAACAGTATTTATATTTCTTGAAAGGTCACCAAAGTACACCACTTAGATCTGTCCCCAATTAATCACCCACAACATTTTCTAGACTCTAGTTTCAAAATAGTGCAAGCATTTGCCTAACAAGACTCCAAACGTTCTGTCAGCCTGACAAACTTAAAGACGGTGACAGAGGGAAATTGTACATTTAAAACGTCTTAACACTTAGCCAAGCAGCGTACTGTGACAAGATAGGAAAGTCAACTCCATTTATTTTGCATTACCATTTTTATTGTAGAAAAATGCACATTTAAGCAAAATAGAAACTATCTACTTTCAGCCCCACTGGCTACTGAAAATAAGTTTCTTTTATGGGGAAATCCTACTTTTTCTCCTGCCTACAGTCCTCCGTAAATTGTCATTTTCTCATCTCTCCAACAATGCCCTGACTTATTCCAGAGGTAGACTCAGCCCCATCTCAAAAAGCGCTGTTTCATGCCACTGTGATTTTAGTGTGGGCTTTTCTAGACCAGACAACCAGCAATCACACTGAGTTAGGCCAAAGGAAGAGAATATTTTTTGATGTGTTCAGGCAATCTTATTTTAATAGCTCCTTTCAGGGGATGAAAAGCTTGCAGCTCTAGTACTATATGTTCAGGTAAGTCAAAAAGTATTGCTACTCGTGTTCCAGTTGATACGTTATGGGTTTATAACAAGCAAAACACGTTTAAACATGTCTCTTGTCAGCCGTGGATGACTTCAGACAAGTTCTTTAGGTAACACACTTGTCTTAGTTTCATTAAGGAGTTTTCATAAAAAGAGTCTCATCAGAACAGTGGCTTCTGAGGAGATCTGCTGGGACAGTTAAATTCAAGGCAGAGAAGATAGTTTAGAAGGTTATAGAAACGGTTTTATGGGATCCATTAGAGGTAATCTTGATACATGGTTTGTCAAAGGACACAGAACAATTGTGGGGGGAGGAGGGGGAAGGAGGGGGTTACTATGAAAAAGTTTCCAGAAAATTTAAAGCTGTGTTGGTGAGAAAAAGTCCAGGAAATTTTTATTTTCTATCACAACTCACTTGCTCATTCTTAGAGGGTATCAAGGGCTATCCTATGAGAATGTATTGGGAAGTCTTATTCCATCCACCCTGTTGCCCTGCTCTTGACCCTTCAGACTTTTTCAGTTCCCCAAATTCAAAGAACATTTCAAAGCAACGTGACTTTGAGCCCCTGGAGGAGGCCCACACTGCCATTTTAACCTGGTGTAAATCAAAGAACATAGAATCCTTTGGGGAAGGGTTGTTGTTGTTGCCGTGAAGTGTTGTTGAGTTGATTCCGACCCATCGCGACCCTGTATAGGTTTTTCAGGGAGCAGCTGGTGAGCTTTAACCACCAACCTTGCAGTTCAAACGCCTTTGCAGTCTCTGATGCATTAGCCCACTGCGCCAGGTGGAAACACCACCTTCAGAAGTTTATGGAGCCGGATGGAGGATATGTCAAGCAACAGTGCTCCAATTTTGATATTTTTATTTAATAACGAGTTTTATGATTTCATTGTAATACTTTTTGAGTTAACTCCCATAAATGGCTTGGCGTACCTGTGTTCCTCACCTGCTGCTTTTTGGCCAACTCTCTCATTTCTATATAAACATCATAAATGATGGTGGGTAATTCTGATCTTAGGTACCAAAGATGTACAGTCTAATAAGAATTTTAAAAAGCTTCAAATTCTGTTGACAGTAGCCTTAGAGATAAATGAACCCAGATTTCCAGGACAGTCTGTGTCTGTATTCTCCTCCCTAAATTTGCTAAGTCATCACAAGTAAGCAGAGAATTGTAAAAGATGACCAGGGCACCTAAGGAGTCTGAATACTGTGTTGGTGGTAATGATTTAATGCTCCTTAGAACACTTCACACTTGTCTGGAAGGTGATGTTCAGTCGAGCTGTCCCTACCTGGAATTAGATGATTTTAGTCATATTGATGGGGCAAAGTTAATAAACACCTCATGGGATTAACTGTTCTTTACTTCCCAGAGCCATTGGGGGGCATGGAGGGAGGAACATAATGGTTTTGCCCCTGTGTAGATGGGACTTTGTTTTCCAGGACTGATGTTCATTTTCCCACGTCATTTTCCTCCCCTTCTCTCCTGCAGGATCAGTACCAGTTCTGCTACCGAGCCGCATTAGAGTACTTGGGAAGCTTTGATCACTATGCAACGTAGAAACCCCTGACCCATTCCGGATTTTAACTACAGTCCCTTCAATATCCATGGAGTCTCTTCTGAGCCATACGGGGCAACTGAGAAGTCCTTCTTAACGTCTAACTAACAACCACTTAGTGGGACTATTACACACAAAACAAATCAAAAACAAACTCTTCCAGGTAGAGCAAGAATTCACAGTTTAATAATCTCACCCGAAAATAATACAGAGAATCCTGACTGGGGAGGTGTCTGAAGGATTTTATTTGCAGATACCTCAAGGGTTCAAAATAAAGGGAAGAAGAAATCACAGCAAAGAACCACCATCTTGTTCAGGCTCGCTGGATAGGTGCAAGAAATTTCCAGAACGTTATGGGTTCCGTGCGAGATGTTTGTTGGTATGGCCTCTCACAGTAACACAAACTGTGTTTCTACAACGCCCCGTCCAACCATACTGCTCATAATAACATTTTAGGGGGAACAGGGTGGGGGGGTGTTTCAAAAGAAAGTCCTTGATTTAGTTTTTTAGTATTGTAAAGATACTGCTGACCTGTGCTTCATTTTTAACTGTGTAAACCTTTTTTTTTTTAAACAAAATGTATCATTCGATAAAGTAAATTTAAAAAAAAAAAAAGGTTACATCACTCTTCTTGGTTTTTTTAATTTCCAAATTGTAGGGTTTGTATTTTTAACCTGTAGAACTGTTATCTGTAATATCTCACTGTCGAACTGTCAAATAATTTGAAACTTTGCACATTTTTGTGCAACACTCTTAAATCTACAGTATCCGTCTTAACAGATACTGCTATCTCACTTCTGTTTGGTTTAGATTGGTAAGAAAGTTCCCGTTCTCTTCAAATCATCCAAGAGGATTTTATTTTTTGTTTGGTTTTTGGTTTTGGAATCAACAGGGAGACGCAAAGTAGAAAGTTGCTGCTAACATATATACATAGATACCCATATGGTGTGGTACTGTTAGATAAGCATTGGACTGCTAACCACAAGGTTGGCAGTTCAAACCTACCAGCCGCTTCTTGGAAACCCTATACAGGGTCGCTATGAGTCAGAACCAACTCGTCAGCACTTAACAACCACCACCCATGTTTTATAAAGGTGTTTGTGTATATATAGTGTATCGATCCAAAAAGAGAGAAATAGGTATTCAGTTCTTCCATGATATTTTTTTTTGTTTTATCGGAAAGCTATTGTCAACATCTCTTTCAATTGTTCATTAATTTTATGGCATATTGGTATTTCTTAATATCACAAAATTTTGATTTTTTTTTTTTAAAGGGAAATGAGGAATGCACATCAGTGATTGCCAAACCTCACCCCCTAATTTGCTGCCCAGTCTCCACCCACCCAGTCATACTCACAAATCATATTTTGTTAGCCAGGATTCCAACAAAGTTCAATATTTATAATACTCTAGTGCAATAAAAACAATTATTCAATATCTAAGAGGTGTGCATGTGGGCAAGATCAGTGCATATCCCTTTAGGAGGGAAGAATGTTGTAATATATCAACTCTCAAGTTGTTAAAGCAAACAAAAAGTGTATTCAATAGTATATTGTCTATAGTATGTGCTATGAAATTTGCATTTATGATATGTAACAGGGGCAAAGCCAAAATCGTGTTACTCTCTGTTCAACCAGAAACATTTTGTGGCATACAGCATTCCTGGGAAGTGCTGTACTTTGTTTTGTTTGGATTTTAGTTTTGCATTTAGAGTGCCTTATAATTGATGCCTAATTTTAATAGCATTTCTTTTTTTTTTAGCCTTCAGTTGAGTCTTTCCATTAGTTGTTCCTATCTGTTACCCTTCCAAATTAAAGTATTATTCTGTTTACCACATGTACAAAAACTCTTTGAATAATATGCATTCCTAGTTTCCAACCAAGTCGGGGACATTAGTGATTGGACCAGCCCAAAGGACTTGAGTCACCGGCGCTCTTCTTTCTTTCCTTGTGACCAATATTCGGAAAAGTGACTTGTTTTATTCATAATCCCTTTCAATTGGCTCTGAAGCGTGTAGTCTCTGCACCAACCTTATTTTAATAGCAAACATTCTTAGCAACATTGGAATGTTTTTGATATTCCATGAAGATTTTTCTAAAATAGGAAGTAAACAAATGAATATGATATCTAAATAGGTATGTATTTCCCCAAAACATTCAAACGTTCTAATTTAATTTCTATAGGAAGTCATGGATAAAGGCCTAAGTTTGCCATTTCTTATACGAGTTTGAGGTTAAACAGCCCTTGTAATATCCAAGGAACTCTTAAATCATTTTGGTTTAGGTATACTATTATAGTTTAATTTTAGTGACATCGATGTTCTGCATGGAAGGACATTGGTTTCATTTTTCCCATTGCTAGCAGAATGAAATCCAAGAGACCAAACACTCGCAAGCATCGTATTTGAGCATTTTTGTAAAAAAAAAGGAAAAAAATGAAAAAAAAAATAATACTTTAAAAACAAAAAGTATCTAGAAGGCTACCTCAGAATGAGACTCTCTAACCTACATCAGAACCAGAGAGGAATGTGCACTATGTGGGTCTTCTGTTGTTTCCTTTCAGTTTGTATCTTTTGGAGATTTATCCAAGTGCCAGATTACTCACTGCTGTCATTTTCTTTTAGCCAAACGAAGGGGGTCGGTCAGACATGGCCTCGTCCACACGTGGCATGTTGGCTGTTAGAACCTAGTAAAGTGTTGCACACTAGAACGGTTGGCCAATGAGCCATTTCTCTCCCTGACACCCAAACTGCCCATTTGGCAAAGGGAGCGATGAGAACAATCCCAAGAAGATCCTGAATGGGATGCATACCATAGACAAGCGAGACAAAGACTATTCCAGAAATCCTACTGTTCAGGAGCTGTTCCTAGAACTAACTCCCTAGTGTCATTGATGTGCATTCCATTCTCTTGTGCTTTTCTGTACATCCATTGTAGTTTTGATTTCCCAGGTAACCACTTACTGCTATCATAATCACAGACGTTCATGTCTCCACTTCTTTTCATCATCATAACCGGTACGGTGCTATTATTTACCTATGTATGTGTAGTTATGTATAATTTTGTAATTAGTTACAATGGTAAAAAAAAAAAAAAATCAAAATATATAAAAAGTGATTTGTACAGAACTTTATTTTAGCTCTTTTTTAAAAATGATTTGCATGGTTAGACAACGGCAAGGACAGCCAGGGGAGGGAAGGACCTCTAGTGAACTCTGCACTTTCTATAACTTTGTACTATGCACTGTCCTATTGATTCTACACCCAATAATGTTATTACTTGAACCCATCTGTAAGAAACTGCTTCAGAAATTCATTTTCGTGTCTGTAAATAACACAGTATAGAAACAGGAAGGGAAAGAATTCTGCAGTAATATACAGATTTTTTTTCTTTCCTGTTTATTTTTTGGTTTTAATTTGTGTTAGTCCCTCTTTTCTTTTTTAAGAACCTCCACCCTCTTTTTTTTTTCAAATTCTCTTTTGAATTTTGGGGTTCCTTTGGGTTTATGGGTGCCCTGATACTCCAGGAGAGGCCAGAAGGCTACAGACCCATCCTATCCATCCGTTACGTGGCTTTGCCATCAAGCTTGGGGTGTCTTTACAAAGATAATAACAGTTGTGTTCTTTGCTCTCGTTTTGGATGCATAGACTGAAAACTTAAAAAAAAAAAAAAATAACTTGTAAAATGGCTTGTTAAAAAAATACAATTACCTCTAATTAGTAGTACGCGTAAATGTTTTACAGAATGAAAGGCGTGCATTTTATTTTCTTACTTCGTTACATTGGTGGCGAAAGAAGTCTGTATGAAAATCAGTTCTTTGCTGACACAAGTTCCATTTGTTACAAATGAATTCTAATAAAAATGTCAGTGTTATGCAACCCTGGCCTTGGATTTTGCCTACTCACAGTTTTGGTGTTGAACTGATGGCATTTTGTGCCCCCTTCTCTGGCTACCCAGCCTGCTCCCTTGTACTCCTAGGCATCCTGCAGTTCTGGTGTGGCGCTGTAGGATAAGCACTGTGCTGCTAACGGCGGGGTTTGCGGTTCATAGGTATCAGCTGGCCTTCAGAAACCCTCTACAGGGTCAGACTGACTCGACAACACTTAGCAACAACAACAACTAGTTGTTCTGTTCATTATGAGTTTGCTATTGACAAGGGCCTGTTGTGGAGAAATTGTCTACCCACATTTCACTGATAAGCAAACTGACTCAGAGAAATTGTTTACCCGAGTTCAAACAACAAAGAAAGCGAGAACTGGTTTCATTCAAATTGTATGTAGATGATGGACAGCATTTTAATTTTGTGGGAAATGACTACTATGTATATTTAAGGAAATTACAAGCTACATAATTATTAAGAAATATTACATATAAAAATTTGTGAGCTTGAGCAAAAACCATACTTTAGAGAGAGGGATTTATAGTCTAAAATGCACATATTAGAAGAGGAAAGGTTGAAAATTATTTACGTTAACCTTTACTTAAAGACACTGAAGAAAATAGCAGCTAATTCAACTTCAGGAAAGTAGAAGCAAGAAACTAAAGAAAGCAAATACACAAAAGAGAATGGACAAAGTATGAATTAAAAGTTGGTTCTTCGAAAGGTTGATGAAACTGATAAGCTCTTGCTGCATGATATAAACAAAAATGGTAAAGAAGCATTTCAAAAGAAGTTTATTCCCTCACATCTTTAATTACCATAACTAACCAAGAATCTGCCTTCAAACTATGAAAAGAGCTCCTATGAATCAATAAGAACAAAACAAATGGCAGGGAACCCAATTAAAACTCAAACATTAGACTTGAAACACAAAAAACGGACAGCCAAATTACTCATTAAAAAATGTCACAAAAATATGCTCAATTGTGTTAATAATAAGGGAAATACATTTTAAAGTCACAGTACATATTCTTCCCAGAATGACTAACATTAAAAAGTCTAGTAATACAAAGTGTTGGTGAAGTAGAGAGGGTGGTTGATCACACTCTGGTAAAGTGGAACACCTACTCATCCTGTCGTTGGCGGTTGTTAGTTGCTGTCAAGATGGTTCCTTCCCCTTGAACAGCAGGATAAAATGCCTGGTCCTGTGCCCTTTCCATGTGCTTGAGTTTACTGTTGTGCCCGCTACGTATTTGGAGTGCCTTCTAACCAAGTAGGTGTATCCTTGGAGCTGTGTTGAGCAATACAAGGGGAACTTCAAAAAATGAATGGAAAAAACTACAGTCTCTTCGAATTCATTTTTGCAGGAACTTTGTTGAAGCCTCCTTATATTGTGTTGTGATCCATAGGTTTCTCATTGACAGTGTTTCAGAATTAGACCACCAGACCTTTTTCGCTTGTCTTAGTCCGGGAGCTTTGCTGGACCTTTCCGACTGTGACTGCGTGACCTGCTGGTATTTAAATTGCCGGTGGTATTGTTTTCTAGCATCATAGCAAGACACAAGGCCCTAACATAGGAC